ACACTTCCAAAAAAGACACCTTAAAAAAAAAAAACACCTAAAAAAAAAACTTACAAAAAGAGACATCTCAAAAAAAAAAAAAAGACATTCAAAAAAGACACCTCAAAAAAAAGGCCCCTCAAAAGAAAGCCCCCTGAAGGACTTGGGCCCAGCTCAGTGTCCCCCTGCAGAGCTCCGAGGGGATGGAGCTGGGCTGGGCTCCTGGGAAGCCTCCGATGGTTCCCGCAGCTCTGCCACCCCCCCTCCCCGAGCCAGATGACCAGGGTGGGCTTGGGACCCCCCAAAATCCATGCCAGGAATCACCCAGGGAACAACAGGAGCTGCTGCCACGGCACAGCGACCCTCAGCCTCGGGACCTGCTCCAAGAGGGGATTCCCAGCTCGGGGAGGTGCCCACACCCCCCGTTCCCGCTCCGGGGCGGATCCCAGCCCACCTCCGGCGTTGGTGATGGTGACGGGCACGCCCTGGACCTGCACCCCGTTGATGTTGATGGTCTGCATGGCCTGGGCAGCGGCTGCCAGCTGGGCAGCGTTCAGGCTCAGGATGCCCCCGGCCGGGGCGATTTTGGGCAGCGGGCGCTCCTTGCGGGGTGGGGGTTTCCTGGAGCCCCCCGGGCCGGGGCTGCGGGACACGGGGCTGCTGCAGGACGATCCCGACGGAGCCACGGCCATGGCTGAGGCCTCCTGGAGCACCACGGTCTGCAGCTCCCCCGAGGGGGTTTTGAAGTAGACCTGAGGGCGGCAGAGAAGTGGGGTGAGATCGGGAATGGTTCCTCTTCCCCTCTCCAACACACACACCCCCCCACACACCCCAGGGATCATGGAATTGTGGATGGGTTGGGTTGGGAGGGATCTTAAAGCTCATCCAGTTCCACCCACCCAGGGACACCTTCCATTAGGTTGCTCAGAGCTCCATCCAACCCGGCCTTGGACACTTCCAGGGATGGGACAGCCATAACTTCTCTGGGTTGGAAGGGATATTAAAGCTCATCCAGTTCCACCCACCCAGGGACACCTTCCATTAGGTTGCTCAGAGCTCCATCCAACCCGGCCTTGGACACTTCCAGGGATGGGACAGCCATAACTTCTCTGGGTTGGAAGGGATATTAAAGCTCATCCAGTTCCACTCCCCTGCCACGGGCAGGGACACCTTCCAC